GCCAAAGAAAAGCTTACCACAAAACGGAAAAGTTATGACAAATCAGACTATAAGGCAAAAAGAAAGTGCAGCTTTATGGTTTCATGGACAAAATAATTTCTGTGGCTGCAATATGATGAGCTAAATAACCAGGGCTGCACATAAGTGGTCCGCAGGTGCGCACTCGCTGTCAAAATAAAAAACGCGCACAAGATAAGAAGTTGCAACGCGTGTTTGCGTACATAGGATTTTCTGGAGGACAGACATTTGTTTAGAACTCTTAAAGATGTTGAAGAAGCTCCTTTAAGCAATTACTTTGGTGTTCCTCCACCTCCAAAGAAATGTCAGAAGGAGTTCAAACCACAAAAGAAGCGCGTATTATCGGAAAAGTGGTTGCAGGAGGTGAGCTGGCTTCAAACAAATGATGAACGCACAAAGATGTGGTTCCGAATGTGCCGTGAAAATCCCACTCTAGCGGACAAAAACACTGCTTTTTATATGGACGCAAACGCGTGTTGCAACTTCTTATCTGGTGTGCGTCTTTTATTTTGACAGCGAATGCGCACATACGGACCACTTATGTGCACCCGTGTAAATAACATAATGTTCTGCCGGGTGTGTCGTTGGTTTTGCCTCGATTTCCGAGTCGACAAGTGCCTTTGTTATTGGGACCAGTCATTTTAAGAAAGGTCCCCGTTAGAACCCATGAGAAATGCAAGAAATGCATTATTGCTCAGTCTGCACTCTTTCCCAGAACAAACACCAATTGCAAATAACATACTAAAAATAAACCTGAAAAATCTGCTTAGAACAGCGTACTATGTTGCAAAGAGTGAACTACCACAGGCACAATTTAGCAGTCTTTGCAAACTTCAAAAACCTGTGACTTCAGTGGAAAATTCAAATTCAGGATCTGACACAGACCAATTCATGTTCTACAGTTCTTACAAGTTCATAGAAATTTCTGTTTAATTAGAACCAAGTATTTGAGTTGATGATTGAAATTTTTATACAATGTTGTAATTTGTGTTTCAACAATTTTTTGATTAATGTTTTGTTTCTGTTACAATATTATACTTTAATGTATAATGTTGTAACAGAAACAAGACAGGAAACAAAACATCAATCAAAAAATTGCGCTCTTTTTTATTCGGGCTACTTAAATTTATTTTGGGCTACCAAAAACTGAAGAGTCCCTGCCCGAAGGGCTACCAGGGACTTTGAAATTTTGCGAGCCCTGCATTGGGTAATATGTCACACTGAATACACATTGAACACAACCGCATGAAAGATGAAGAAAAACAATTCACTTAGATATGAAACAATGCAGTAGCCCCACCTACTGGCAATTGTTCCAACTGTTTTTTAGAATAGAAAACCATAAAAGTAACAATTTTCTATTTTATTTAGATTTCCAAAGGCTTGTCAGATTTGGCACATGATAAAAAGTGATGCAAAACTGCACAGCACTTGCAAAATGTATTTTATTCTAAATAAAATAAAAGAATCAAAAACTTATCTTCTTGTAAAATATCAAAATTCATTCTTCAAAAAAATGAAAAGAAAACAGTTTTGAGAATGGACTTTTTATAATGGAAAACAGTTCTTTTGAAGAAATAAATATAATAAACTGGCAAAAATTAAAATGCACTATTTAATTAACATAACTTCAAACTGAAGCTTCAATGAAGCTTTGAGAGCACAGCACTGCAATCTTGTAACACAAGTACTAATAATTCAATCATAAACACACTCTCAAACCTCTTGAATCTGCCCCATTTTAGTTTTTATACAGTTTATGATAATTAAATATCAGCATGTATGTTAATTAATTCGTTTTGTTCTTGCACTTGTGTATCTCTTTGAATCATACTGACTTGTTTTTTGTTTTGCTTTTCCCTCTGATTTTTATGCCCATTACAAAAATCCAAATGTTTCCTTATTTCATTTTTCTGATCATGTCTTCCAAAGACATGGTCTTGACCATACTGAAGAAATGCCCTATGCCCTAACAAAACAACTAAAAGCTCTCATGGGAGGAAAACTATTAAGCAAGACTAAGACATTGAAAACCAACTGAATGGATTCAATTTAATTGTGTTTTCCTTTTAAATTCAAGTGCTTTATTGTTCAGACCGATAAAAGATGGGATGGAGTCATTGTGAGCAGCAGTTTTTCTGTAGGTGAAGAGGCATTGTGACAGAGATGAAGTCGACACTGCTTTTGTTAGGCACCCTGGGAATTGTCTTAGCAGGTTTGCTCTTTGGTCTTTAATGCCTTCAGTTTTTCCAGAAATTCGGATTCTGCGCCATCCTCCTCTGAAAGTTTTCATACCACTTTAGGATGCAACTGGAAGGAATAAAAGTCTCTGTGGGGTTTGGCAGCATCTGGGCCTGCGACACAGCAAAGGAAGAGGCGAAGTTGTACAGACTGTCCAACATCTTTTGGGTGAACTGCAGGAAGGTGTCCACGGTGGACACGGCGGCGCTGGACACCGGGATCTGCTGAGCCAGCTGCTCCAGAGCCTCCACTGACACGCCGACCTGAGCAACGGAGGGAGACGCAGAAGAGGTCATAATACCGAAGGGGTGCGCCCCGCCCTCCCCAGCCTTCAGCCCAGAGATCTTGAAGATGGCACTTGGCTTATCGTTGGTGATGAAGCCGAGTAGCTGCCACACGGGACCGCCACTCGCCGGATCAGGGAAAGAGAAGTATACGGCACCGCCCATGCCGGCAGGGAATGGCACGGTACCTAGCATAAATACCACCACATGGTTCACATTCTCGTAGTCCGACAGGTTAAAGAGGAACTTGTCCGGGGCAAGCTGCACCGCGTCTGTCTGCACCAACCTCCCTGCGACCAAACAGCCGAACATCACTGCTGACAGTTAGTAAACAGCCTATAGCTTCGGCTTAGCCTGCACCAGGTTAGAGTCAGTACTGCAGCTCCCGCCGTCTAACAACCGGAGTTACTGAGACACTCAATTACACACAGAAAAGTGTTGGACAGCAAACATGAGCGTAGCTTCCCAAGGTTACCAGGAACTTCTTCTACAGTTATACTAGCCCTGCCCTCTTGTGGCGTCTTCTTCTTCTTCATGTGACGGTGGCAAACTCGACGCCTGGGCGCCACCGACTGGTTTGGAATAATTACTTCATTAGCCTAAACACTAAATACACCCAATAAAAGTGAATTTGTTCTTCTTCTTTTACAGGACGAAGCTAGGATCAAACATTTAGGGGTCAGAGGCGCCATACATGATGTCATGTGTACAGTGTGTGCAATTAATATTATTGGAATAAGCAGCTTGCAAACATTTTCAATTATTTTCCCTTTACAAACCCAAATTCAGCTGGGGCACATGCAAATGTTTCTTTCAAAAGCAATCAATTAGTTGGATGACCTATTGTAGTGTCTAAGAATGATTCAAAATGAATAATCGCAATCAGTATAATACACCAGTTTCAAACTGAGCACCTTAGTTATCAAACATGAGGCAAAGCCTCAATCATGTTGTCCACAATTTTCCAAAATAATTTAAATTTGTATTTGTATTTGCAGCAAAGCAGACAACAACATTTTTTCAGCCTCTCAACCATATAAATGAATAATAACTTTATTTGTATAGCACTTTCAAAGTTAAAAAATGCTACATAGTTTGAATAAAAGCCATTGAAGATAACCGGCGTGTTCAACAATATGGATATATAAACAGACACATATGGTCAGACATGACAGCGACTCTGTTGCATTCTGACAGAAGTACACCGCTTGCTATAACTCTCGTGTGGCTCACCTGTCACCCTGCTAGACCCTTTCATGTATGCCTATTAAGTTACAGACCCCTAGGCACAAATGTTTGATGTGGTCTAGCCAACTTGTTTTGATGATCAGACAAATCATACACAATAGTTTGAAATAGAGAGAGTGTGCCTTGCTTTAAAAAAAAGGAATCATAACTGTATAATTTGTGTAAAATATCTAAAGTATCTTATATTGAATGGAAAACTAAACTGTCAGAGCTTTTCATGTTGTTTTGTGTGTTTGTTTTGTTTTTCACAATGAATATACTGTTTATATGGTTTTTATACACATTCATAAACATACACACTTGTTGTTGTCTTCTTCCAACAACTCCTGCAGCTCCTGAAAGTACCACAGTCATGCAAATTACTTTGCATGTCATCACAATGAATGTGTTTGTTTGTTTGTTTTCCTTTCATGCCTGTTTCACTTACTTTGGAAGTATCCACCAGTTAGCTGACTTTAAGAAATACCACTAGCCTTAGTAGTGTAGGAAAGAAAAGGGCAGGTAGACTACTGTATTCCACCAATTCAATTGTAATTATAAAAAAACACATTTGTCTGTCTTTTGATAATATATGGTTTCAAGATCTCAGCATTTGAGAAAATACTATTGTGGTCTTTTTTTTCCACTTGCCTCTTGAATGGTCCCACAACTGTACATGGGCCCCTGAAACCGTTCTTCTCTAAGTTTCAGCCTAGTTTTGGGGACAACCAAAAGCAGCTGGTCAACTGATATAAGGGCCCGCGAGGGCATATAAGACTGAAGTACGAAAGGTAAGAAAGGTATGGAGAACCAAGACTGTTTAGGGATTTATAAGCCAACATTAGGGCTTTTAAATTAATTCTGTGATAAACAGGAAGCCAATGAAGAGAGGACATGAGAGAACTTCAGCTCAGCTCGGATGCATATTGCATAGGTCTTAACTAGATCACACAGGAAAAGCAGATAAGGCCATTTTAGTGCACAACATCAGGATTCTTTTTATTTCTTTTTTTTTTCTCAAAAAATACTGATTTTACATATGTCCACAGTATTTTTAGAAACCAGAACTTTAGACTTTTTGTTGAATTTTCTCTATTATTATTGCTTATTTCTTTTTTCTATCTTTTTCTCTCATCTTTCTCCAGCAAATATTATATATTGATTCCACCAATTTTATTTTTATTGACTGAGTGCATACCAGCAGCACATGAGCTAAAGTGGATCAAGTACTCTCTGATTTAGTACTTGCCCAACCTGCTATGAGGCAGGTTGAGAGGCTAAGGAGAGAAACATTAGTGAAAGGTGATATGTGCTACCCTGCATCTTAACCAAAGTGCACCGGGAGATGCATATGCATATTCTGCATATTCTATGATCTTTTAGACAGAAGATACAAAAGCTAAATTGGCTTTATGAGCACTGCATGTATACTTATAAAGGTAGGCTAAAGCTTTCGTAGTTGTCTGTAAAGATTGTTGTACTATTCTTTTCTCTGCATATAACCAGAGGTGGTAGAACTAGAAGTACCGCTACTACACTTAAAAAAAAAAGGGATTGGCCAGCTCTTGGATTTATGTAAGCATCTTGCTGGTATTTAACACAAGTGCCTCATGCTTTAAAGTTAAGTGTAACTATATAGAAACTACATAATATGCAGAGCGGGTAGATTAAATTGTTCATATCATGTTCGAGTAAAGTAAGTCAATAAAATAGCAATGTTAAATCCTGCGACACCGCACGGGATTTCAGTCTCGCGCGCTTTTGATCGTGGTTTGAGGAAGGCATCCATCTCAGTCAAGTCGAGCAGCCGCCTCTACTTTTTTTGGTATACCAAAAAAAGTAAATGGGTGGTTGTTTCATTAAAAAAGTCTACCTTGTAATTTGAACACATAAATGTCTTGGTTCTATCTTGAATTAAATCACGTAGGATCTGTATGAAATTCAACAACTTAATTTGTTCTTGTAGAGATGACATTATACAATCTACTGTAGTGTTTAGTTGAAATTAACAAGATCACATGAGATTTCAAACTGCAGAAAAATCATTGGAGTTATAAGAGGCAGACAACTACACACACACCACGTGTATGTTATTGCTTTTTATTATGGGTTAACCTGGCAAGGACAAAAATGTAAAGAAAATTCTGCATCAAGACTTGAAATCTTTAACCTTTAACGTTAACTAGTAATGACTTCATGAACTTCTTCACAAATAAAATTTTTATCATTAGAGAAAAAATTACCAGTAATCATCCCACAGATGTAATATTATCTACAGCTACTCTTAGTACCATTGATGTTATATTAGACTCTTTTTCTCCAATTGATCTTTCTGAGTTAACTTCAATAATTACTTCCTCCAAACCATCAACGTGTCTTTTAGACCCCATTCCTACAAAACTGCTCAAAGAAGTCCTGCCATTAATTAATTCTTCGATCTTAAATATGATCAACCTATCTCTAATAATCGGCTATGTACCACAAGCCTTCAAGCTGGCTGTAGTTAAACCTTTATCTCTAGACCCAGCAGTCTTAGCTAATTATAGGCCAATCTCCAACCTTCCTTTCATATCAAACATCCTTGAAAGAGTAATTGTCAAACAGCTAACAGATCATCTGCAGAGGAATGGTTTATTTGAAGAGTTTCACTCAGGTTTCAGAGCTCATCACAGCACAGAAACAGCTTTAGTGAAGGTTACAAATGATCTTCTTATGGCCTCTGACAGTGGACTCATCTCTGTGCTTGTCCTGCTAGACCTTAGTGCAGCATTCGATACTGTCGACCATAATATCCTATTAGAGCGATTAGAACATGCTGTAGGTATTACAGGTACTGCACTGCAGTGGTTTGTATCATATCTATCTAATAGACTCCAATTTGTGCATGTAAATGGGAAGTCCTCTTCACACACTGAGGTTAATTATGGAGTTCCACAAGGTTCAGTGCTAGGACCAATTCTGTTTACATTATACATGCTTCCCTTAGGCAGCATCATTAGAAGACATAGCATACATTTTCACTGCTATGCTGATGACACCCAGCTCTATCTATCCATGAAGCCAGATAACACACACCAATTAGTTAAACTGCAGGAATGTCTTAAAGACATAAAAATCTGGATGGCCGCTAACTTTCTGCTTCTTAATTCAGATCAAACTGGGGTTATTGTACTTGGCCCTGACAAGCTTAGAAATATGATATCTAACCAGATTCTTACTCTGGATGGCATTACCTTGGCCTCCAGTAACGCTGTGAGGAACCTTGGAGTCATTTTTGACCAGGACATGTCCTTCAATGCACATATTAAACAAATATGTAAGACTGCGTTCTTCCATTTGCGCAACATCTCTAAAATTAGAAATATCCTGTCTCAGAGTGACGCTGAAAAACTAGTTCATGCTTTTATTACTTCCAGGCTGGACTACTGTAATTCATTATTATCAGGATGTCCAAAAAACTCACTGAAAAGCCTTCAGCTAATCCAAAATGCTGCAGCAAGAGTGCTGACAGGGACTAGAAAGAGAGAGCATATTTCTCCTGTTTTGGCTTCCCTTCATTGGCTTCCTGTTAAATCCAGAATTGAATTCAAAATCCTGCTCCTCACATACAAGGTCTTAAATAATCAGGCCCCATCTTATCTTAATGACCTTGTAGTACCATATCACCCTATTAGAGCACTTCGCTCTCGCTCTGCAGGCCTACTTGTTGTTCCTAGAGTATTTAAAAGTAGAATGGGAGGGAGAGCCTTCAGTTTTCAGGCCCCTCTTCTGTGGAACCAGCTTCCAGTTTGGATTCGGGAGACAGACACTATCTCTACTTTCAAGATTAGGCTTAAAACTTTCCTTTTTGCTAAAGCATATAGTTAGGGCTGGACCAGGTGACCCTGAATCCTCCCTTAGTTATGCTGCAATAGACATAGGCTGCCGGGGGATTCCCATGATGCATTGAGTTTTTCCTTTCCAGTCACCTTTCTCGCTCACTATGTATTAACAGACCTCTCTGCATTGAATCATATCTGTTATTAATCTCTGTCTCTCTTCCACAGCATGTCTTTTATCCTGTCTTCCTTCTCTCACCCCAACCGGTCGCAGCAGATGGCCGCCCCTCCCTGAGCCTGGTTCTGCTGGAGGTTTCTTCCTGTTAAAAGGGAGTTTTTCCTTCCCACTGTCGCCAAAGTGCTGCTCATAGGGGGTCATATGATTGTTGGGTTTTTCTCTGTATCTATGAAGCGCCTTGAGGCGACTTTTGTTGTGATTTGGTGCTATATAAATAAAATTGAATTGAATTGAATTGAAATCATAGCTTTCCTATTTTTGATGGT